GCCTGACCTCTGCTAATAAGTAAACTATTCCCCCCACCCCCCAAAAAACCCCAAGATCCTCATAAGCTTCCTTAAGTGCTTTAGCCTCTGAGCCAGTCAAGCTCTGAACTATCAACAACTTCTCTGTTTCTTCAATTTACACCTGTTAAATCAAGATTAGCCAATACTGGATTAAAGAAATGAAACACTGGAACAGTCTAAAGTTCTTTAATGGATTGTTAGTCTCGATGGGATAGCAACAATTATTATTCTTCACCCTGTGCTGTTTTACAATTTGTTTAATGATATATTTTGAAATATCCTAAAGTTATTTTCTTGCATAATGTTAGGGTCTTACATTGCAAATCTAATAATGTAACAAGCAATAACTTTAGGATAATTTAAAAGACAGTGGCACAAATTACTGGATACAGTAATTGGTTTGTTTCTCTGAGTTTTTTGTTTTGATTTTTTTTTTGAGGGGAAAAGCTTCTTTTGTTTTGTTTGATGCTTTGTTGTCAGTTGTTGTTTTTTTTTTACTCCTGGCAACTGGAATAGTTCCTGCAATTTTTCTTGGCAAGATTTTGAAAATGGTTTGCTATTGCCTGTTCCTTAAGGCTGAAAGAGAATGACTGGCCCATGGTCTCTCAGCTGGCCTAAGGCAGAACTAGGAACTGTACGGTCTCCCAGTTTCTAGCCTCAGACCTTTATTATTATTATTATTATTATTATTATTATTATTATTATTATTAGTCGTATTTCTATGCCGCCCACTCTCTGAGGACTCTGGGCGGCTTACATCAAAGACAGTATACTAAATAGCATATTGCCCCCAACAATCTGGGTCCTCATTTTACCCACCTCGGAAGGATGGAAGGCTGAGTCAACCTTGAGCTGGTGAGATTTGATCCGCTGATCTGGTGAAGTAGCAGTCAGCTGAAGTAGCTGCAGTATTACACTCTAATCAGTGCACCACCTCGGCTCAATCATTACACCAGACTGGTTGTCTGAAGAGTTGGCTACCTATCTAAAAGTATCTGCAATCTTACAATGCTTCACCTGCATCCAAGGCTAAAAACTGTAGTAATTATGTTGAAGTACATTTAAGTGTCATTATATAAATAGTACTGTATTGCTTTTCATATTAAGTAGGAAAAATAGAGGATGAAGTAGGGAAAACAAAATATGAAACAAACATGATTGTTCTACGAGACTATACAAAATAATAAATAAAAGTAAGAAATCGCAAAAGATATAAGCTTAAATTCACTTCAGGTGTCAAAACATCTGGTAAGAGGTGTAGGATGTTCATAAGAACATTACTGATTTTTTTAAAAATATAGGAAGAGCAACATTAGCTTGGCCAAAGGTTCATTTCCACAGAATGCTGAACCCACAGGGGTTCTACAGATGCTAGTGGAAAGCCACAACCAAACAAAAATAGAGAAATCCTTTCCTGTTTGATTCTCCTGTGAACAACTTTCAGAGAAGACAATAATGACCTATATAGCATTGCACTATTCCATTTTAGCAGGAACTCCCTTATTATTTTCACTCATTCTTTCAAAAGGTTATTTCCCCATTTACCAAGTAGCTTTCAAATCTAAAACAGGCTGATCAAAATCCCATTAAACACATCCAGTATTTAGAGAATAACTTCAAGGAAGAAAATAAAATCACTCTGTATTCAGGATTTTTAATACCCTAAAGTTACTCATAGGAAAGGATTATTTGTATTTGTATGGCCTGGTAAGAATATTATCCTTTTTTAGGAGAAGATATTAGAATGTTTATGCCATGAATGCACACATTATTACATTTACATAATATCCTATTATCTGTGAGAACAGAAGAACAGTTACTTTTTTTCCACAACATCAACACTTAGATTACAAGATTACATAATCAACAGTAGCAAATCCTTGATTGCTCATGAGCTACGTAGCTAATATAGTTGCCATACTTTCTTTTCTGACTAGTCTTTCAAAAGTCCTGTTGTCATGGTAACACATACACTAATATTCATAGAATCAAAAAAAATCTGATTTTATTTTGCTTGGATGAGTCTTTTGTTGAGTTTCTGAGCATTCATTTCTCTGTACAAACTCCATTTTATTTTTCCACAAAAAGAAATATCAACCACCACTTTTCCTCCTCCTCCTCCTCCTCGCAAATGCTACTTTTTCCTAAAATAAAAATATTATCAAAATGTCTGATTGATTCTAAGCAAACATAATAATTACCTTATTATACAGCTGAACATATATATTTACGGTTGTATTATATATATCATTTCCAATGAAACATGTCCCAATACCTAAGCTGTTCAACGTTACTCACTATTGCAAGAAAACAATTTACAAGGCAATTAGAACTAAAAACATAATATGCTAAGTTAACTAACTGGACAGTTAAGTCATTAATTATAAAGGTCTGTGTTATAAAAACACAGCACATAATTATTGAGAAAGACTTAAAGTGCTTTTTATCTACTTTCTCACCAATTAGGTAAGATCCACTTACTTGGCCTAAAGAACAAAAAAGTGTAAGTGTGTATCCATAGGATTAGCCTCATTTTGTAGTGTTTTTATCTAGCTTGATGGGCTGGAAATTAAAAAGGCCAACCATTATGTGTCTTATATCTAAAGTAAATAAACAAAACACAGGCAATTCTCCAAATGTGAGTGAGATACTGGGCAATGGAAATTATTTTCCAATAAAATTATTGTTTTTATATTTGAGCAGTGATTTAGATATTGTGGAGTCAAAATTATATCTTAGAAATATGCTTCGTATATATACACTTTTTTCATCTTATCACTGTGTATACATTGTATGTAATAATAATGTTAATGGTCTTTCGTTCTGGATGGGGTTGTGCTACTTGAAATAGGATTTATGCATAATCTGGTAGTCTTTCTGGACTGATAGTTCCCATTTGAAGAGAAGGAACAGCCATGGCTAAGTGGGTTTTGTACAACTTTACTTTTCTTCTATGGAGATTCTCAGTCATCCAGGTCATAGTTGTCCCAAAGGTGTTTTTTCAAGAGGCAACTGGACTTTCTGGTTTTTCTTTGACAACGTTTCACTTCTCATCCAAGAAGCTTCTTCAGAAAAGTGAAACTTTTTAAAAGAAAAACCAGAAAGTCCAGTTGCCTCTTGAAAAAACACCTTTGGGTTTACTTGCCTTCATTTCCCTAATCCTTTTCTGGACCATGAGGCACTGCTCATGTCACTCACAACTTTGTCATCTCCTGAGAGGATTACTGTACTACACGCCACGTGAGACTGCCCTCACTATCTGGAAACTGCAACTGGGTTCAGAATGCAGCATCATGGGCAGTCATGAATACCATCTTGATATACTCAAGTTACAATTCTGTTCCACAAGCTGACTGAATTTCCATGTGAAATTCAAGGTACTCCTTCTCACCTGTAGCATGGAGCCAGGTTATTTTGTGGGGCTGCTTCTCCCTAGCTCTTTCTACTCAATAGAATGGAAATGATGGAACAGAAGAAGGGAGAGAAGACTTTAACAGCTAGTACCTTCCTGTTTACTTATTTGGGGCAGTCTCCATTTTGAGTTTTGACCATTTAAGGTCAGGAATATATCACTTTGTGGTTGGGTCTCCATTTTAATTCCTTAAAATCATTTATGTAGCAAATTGACACCATTCTCACGTAAGAGTTTGGTACCTATGTAAGACATGAGTAAGAATTAAGCATACTCAGTGGCACCATCTTGGCCAGCAGGCTAGCTGGAATCATGAGCATTCCATTACCCTGCAATGTTCTGTGACAATTTCAGAGTGTTTTGGCTCTTGCATTTCCACTTTTATGGCCATACTTTAAAGAATGGCAGGCAACTGGATATCCTCCAGCTCAGGGGTGTCAAACTCGTGGTGTCATGTGACATATCACGACTTATTTTCCTTCACTAAGCTGGGTGTGGGTGTGACCAGCATGTGAGGCATCCGGGCTGCGAGTGACAGCAGGCCTTCTCAGCACATTGACCTTAACAGGGATTTTCTTCCTATTATATGAATACAGAACTAGGCGACAGGTAAAACACAGCGTGTCCATTCAGATGTATACATTTATAGTTTACATCATCCCCATATATTCCCTTGACTGGCATTTGCTTGGTTCCCATATTTAAAGCAGACTTATGATCTTACTTGTTCTGGAAAATAACTAGCTTTTCCTGGTTAATCCAACACAAGCCATGGTGTATAAATTTTATGGCACTTTCACTTTTTCCAGAAGTCTGTGTTAGTGACCAACTCAATTTAGATTAACTATTGACAGATTCCTTAGGAACAGATGTGTATTTCAGGAGTGAGTATTGTATAGTCCTCAGCTACTCCATGTTCTCAAAACTTTCTCCTGCTGCCCACTTAGTGAGGAAAATACTTGATTTTACTGTCATTGTGTCATTGTGATACCAAGTTGTTACGTTGATATAGCAAAGGAATCTTTTAAAATGTCTAGTTAATAAAGGTGCTTTCCTTTAATTGGAAGCATGTCTGAACTCTGCTGAAGATGTGATTCCCAAAAAGGTTTGAATAAGAAATAAGCTACGTGTTTTATTTCCATATACGGTAAGACTTACCTTGTTGTACAGTACAGCCTAATGAAACAATATTTTCTGGGATATTAAGCCCTAGAGTGATTTATTTGAGGATATTTTAATTTTTTGCTTAATGTAATATTTGAATCCAACTAATTGCAACCTGACTTTTCATGCTGTAGTATTAGTCTTGAAATCAAAGTATCATATAAGCCTACATAGGAAGACTTTCAGGGAAATGGCTATTCATATTTTAGGGAGTAATTCCTCAATTTAGATCCAAAAGGTCAGGGTTCAAATTCAGAGAGAGAGTGAAAGGGAGAGGAAGTAGAAGAGGGGGAGATTTGAGATGGAATCTCAAATCCTCCAGATGTCCTTGGGGGAAATATGCGTAAAATGGGATTGATTAGAGCTTTTCCCAGTACTAAAATAAAAGACAAGACACTTGGAATTGAAAAAGTTAATAATGTTTATTACAAAATTTAAATCCTGATCAATGGAACATACTCCTGAGTAAGTCTTCATACTCAGGTTACAGGCAACGAGATGGGAAATCACTTATCTGCATATCCACAGATTTACTACACAAATATTGTATAATCTCAATCTTGCTCTTTGAGGGTTTGTGTTACCAGGATTTATTTGTTTGCTGCAAGGCAGACTCCAACCCATATCCATCACAATACATTCTACCTGCCTTTGTTTTCTACGTTGAAAGGAAATATGCATCATATTCATACTCTTTTTATAAAGGGATACAGATATGGACCAAAATCAGAAAAATTCTGTACTTTTAATAGCAAGTATTACTGTAGTGCTACTGCCAACAGGTACAAAATAAGAGGATATCAATATAAAAGGCTCCTGCCCGTCCCTTCCTCTGACACATGATCCAGTTTTTTTTATGACTGCTATCAATTTAGGATGGCTGAATTTGCTTGTTTTCTTCTGAACGATACTGTCTTAGCAAATTCTCAACAGCATTTTCATTTGGTTCAGTTGACTATACTCTAGGTAATGCCCTACTTAAGAGGGCAACAAGATTTTCTACATCTTGGCCCCTCCATATATTTTTTTTTCTGATAATCTTTTTAAATTTTTGGCACATATATATATATTTGCATCAATTGCAACAATTCATTACCTGATTAGAGCTGCAAAACATCGAGACACCAGGTTTTCTCTTAGTTGCTATCCCAATTTTTGCTGATTCTTGGCTCTGGTAGTCCTAAATTGATGATATTAAGTGTGAACAGTTCAGCTTATTAAAGTGAGAGTCAAGCAGTAGTATAGTGGTCAAATACTCAACTTGCACCCATTTACTGCAATCCTAAACAACTCAGGATTGTAATCTCCTTAGATACTAAAGTCAAAGACTTTTCTGTAGGGAGCAAGGTATACAAATTCTATTTCTTGGAATAGAACCGAGAAACAGCACATTTAATTACATTTAATTTGCTCAAATTAATACTAATAATAGGCATTAAATGCACATCAGATTTAAAACACACCTTCTAAGGCTAAGAAGACTTTGGCAGGCTATGAACCTTTGGAGAATATTGTGAGGGAAGGTGACTCTTTATTTAAACTAACTTTCCCAACACCTACTATCAGTAGGTGACATTTACTGGAACGAAGCATGTTCAAACACTAGATCTAAGCCAGGCAAAAGCATTCATGTTTTCTCGTCTGATTATCTTTGGGATCCTTTCAGTATTTACTGCTTGGAATGCTTTCCGGGTAAGAAAATGAGGCCAAAGGGTTGAAAACTATTGAAAATCGCTAGGGAGTTTGTTAGGTCTCACTTCACACTAGACTAGAGTATTATGGAATCTACCTCCTGACCCCACCCATGTAATCGGCCTCTCGCAAGCACACTGGCCCAGGGAAACCACAACAGATGTTGTGGGGTCTCCTTTATGGGGAAGCCATTCCAGGAGCTCAGCTGGGACCTTCTAGTTTCAAGATTACCCAGCCACATTAAGGCCCACCGCAACTGATTTGGATTTTATGAGAATATTGTATTGTGATGTGCAAAGCAAAATTGTAAAGTTGTGTGTGCAAAGTTAGCGGGGCTTACTCAACCATTCATGGCATGTTATTTTCTGAGGTAAAATCTCTGAAGAATGAGACAACTGCACAACACCCTGGTGTAAAAACCACCTGAAGGTTTCTTGGGGAGGGGGGCAGGTTTGTTTTTTATTGCCAAGCTGTTCCAAGTCAAACTTTAATCGGGGTGCTTTAGTCCAAGCCCAACACATTCTGTACAAAACCTGAACAAGGCAACATATGCCTGTATTCCCGCGAAGTGAGACTCCTGCAAGAACAAGCCTCGCGGCCTCTGGACGTGCCGGTTTTCAGAAACTCGGGAGCTCCTTCCCTCTCTGTTTCCATAAACGGCCATTAGAGAAGCGCAGTCAATAAATTACAATAAATAGTATTTAGCGGGGTCCACCTGTCCCGCCCTCATCACCCGCCTGGAGACGTTGGGACTCACAACTCGGGATACGTTCCGGCCCCACCCGCGGCCGCGCAGTAATAGGCAGCGGCGTTGGCGTCCGGGCCTTCGTGGCTCCCATAGGGGAGCCCCAGGTCGCCCGGGCGGCAGGCGAAGGGCAGGTACTGCTCAAACTCGGCGCGGTCCACATCTGCCAGCAAGTCCACGTCGTGCGGGGGCAGCTGCTCGAGCCCCGCGGGGGCCTCCGCTCGGCGACGGGGTGGCTGCGGCTGCTGCTGAGCGTGGTCCGGGGCGGGCGAGGAAGGGTAGGAGGCCAAGGGCACCGGGAAGCGACTACGGAAAAGGCTGACGCCGACATTGGGGCTACCGCCGTTGTTGCCGTGGCCGCCGGCAGGGACGCCGTTGCACGGATACTCGGACCCGGGCGGCGTCGGGTAGCCGTAGGGGCCCAGCAGGCAGCCGCCTTCCTCCGGGTGGGGTGGCGGGAAAAAAACAGGTTCTGCGCAGGCGCCCCCCTGGGATTCGGGCTCCGGAGTAGGCAGGCTGTAGTTCCCGAAATGGGTGCCCAAAGCCGACAGCGGGAGAGGCGCGCAGTCCCGGTAATGGAAGCTTCCGCCGGCGTAATTCGGTTGCTCTGCGTAAGAAAGACCGAGCCCCTCGCAGCTGCCTCCATTTCCCGCCTCTCCGGGCAGGCCCAACTGGTGATGCTGAACTGGAAGGAAGCCGCTCCCACCGTCCACTGCGCCGTCGTTGCGTTTAAGGCGCTTGACTTGCTTCCTGCGCCTCGGCCGGTACTTGTAGTGGGGGTGGTCCCGCATATGCTGCAGTCGCAGCCGCTCCGCCTCCTCTACAAAGGGGCGCTTCTCCTCCTGGGTCAGCGCCCGCCACGACTGTCCTGTTCAAGGCAAAGGAGAAATCGGGAGTGAGCGGAAACCGATGGCCAAGCTGTGACTGGGCTCGTGGGTGGTGGTGGGGAATTCACTGCTTTTGCCGGAGAGTCGCTTTCCCACCCAGACCCACCTTTCTTAGGGAAGGTGGTGGTTTATGGCAGGCGTCTCCAACCTTGGCAGCTTTAAGCCTGGAAGACTCCCAGAATTGAAGAGTTGAAGTCCGCCAGGCTTAAAGTTGCCAAGGTTGGAGACCCCTGGTTTATGGCACGACTAGCTAACTTGTGGCCTCTTCCTCTACCAAGGAAGCGACTGTTTTCATCTGCCATTGGGTCCCCTTTCGATCCCGCCCAGCTGCGGCCCGCAGTATGTGGAAAGTACGCGAAAAACCCCAGGAAGAAGCTACCAAAGAAAAGCCGATAACCGCAAGGCGTCGTTGTTTATAGAACTTTTTTTTTGAGTTCGTGGCAGTAACTAATAAACCGTTTTCTTGGAATCACCCGATTGTCATTGCGCCGCTAGAAGAGCAGTGACCAGCAATGGCCGGGTGCAGCTGGAGTTAGATTCTTCCATTCGCCCCGTTCTGGTTCTTCCAATGGCCCGTCTGTTAACGAGCTGCGGGGCAATGAAATCTTATATCTTTAGCGGAGTATGAGAAGGCTGCCGAGGATTTTTCCCGCCTATTGGGAGAGTGAGGCAATTTCCAGAAAATTTAAGAGTTTTCCTAAAAGCTTGCCGGAGAAATCATCGTCGATTCAGGGAATTAAGTCCCCTGGATTAGCGTCGGATTGCGCAACGGTCTGTAAAAAAAATCACAAACGAGTCTATTGGGTCACGAGCCTGCTGCTTTAGTTCCTTTACAAAAGTTGCCGTAGTCTCATTTCCGAAGACAACAGGGGTTATTCCGCGACGGGCTGGCACATAGAAAAGTAATACTGCGCAATATTTGGATGGCATATAAATACTGCGCAATATTTGGATGACATGGCATATAAAAAAGGAATACTGCGCAGTATTTCTCAGCCTCCTTTCCCAGCAATCGACCGCTCCGCCGACGCCTATTGGACTTACCCAGCATCTTGCTAAGCTCCGCGTTGTGCAGATCTGGATTCTGCTGCGCCAGCCGCTTGCGTTCGTCCTTGGCCCAGACCATGAAAGCGTTCATGGGGCGGCGAATGCGGGTCTCCCCTTTGGCCCGGCCCGAGGCTCCCTGCTGTACTTGATCGGCTGCCGCTTCGCCTTTGCCTTTGCCATCGGTTAAGGGGCTGAGCGATTCTGCCCACTGACACTGCATCATGACGGAAGGGAGAGAGGACCGTCCTTGCGCCTGGTCGTCGCTACTGGCGTATCCAGCATCGGGGCTGCTCATTTCCACAGAGCTCCACCGGCCCGGCCAGTGTCGGGCCCCTCTGGGTGCCTCCAGAAGGCGAGCAGCCGAGCGAGTTAGTAGTTCTTCCGCCTCGCCGTTCGCTGCAAATAAAGCTTGGAAGCGCCTCTGATGCAAGCCTAGAGCTCCGACAATCCTTGAGTAGCTGGCGGCTGTCACCGCGCGGCTCCGTTTAAACTGAGCAATAGCCAATCGGACGGCGTGGGTGTGGCCAAAGAGTCTGAGCGAGCGAGGAAAGGACCAGTTTTATCTGCAATTCACCTGTATGGGATTGAGCCAGAAATAACCTTTTTCACCGAGGAGTGGATTTTTCCATGACCTGAGTCTACGTGGAAGTAAATTCCATTGAGATCAATGGGATCTACTTTCAAGTAAGTAAGAGACTCGAAAATGACTTATTAGAGCTGACAAAAGAAAAGGGAAAATTAAAAGTTTATCCGTGAAAATATGTTTGTTTGTTCGTGTTAGATAGTTTGCTTCTACGTGCACGGAGGGAAGATTAAGCACTTTCGACCTCTTTCGACCGTTTCCTGTCTGTTGGACCGCGTTTCCCAGACAGGATATGTTCTAACAAATACCATATAAGCAATTCTATTTTAAGAACTGGCTTATGGACTAATTACTTTTTAGATATTGCTTTCTTTATAAACATTGCGGTCGCGTTTAATAATTTGTATGTTGTTAGTATGCATATTGACATTTTGGAATATTCTCATACGATAAATATGGCAATTACTGTAAACAAATTTACTATGGTAATTCTATTTGTAAAAGTATTGATTTAATCTGTTTGCTTCTTTAATTGTTGTTAATTCTGATTATTCCAGCACAGGAATTCGTTCTAGGTTGAAGCAAGTCTAAACGAGCAAGATGGCGTGATGCGTTGTCACAATTAAGACACAAAGTGAAAGGGGTTTTAGCACATGCATTTACTTTTAACATACCCTGGACAAGCTGTTGAAACTGACTTTAACCTTGTCCGGATATAGTAAATCTGATGTCGAAAAAAGTGAAAATACTTACAACCGGAAGTAACTGATACGTCGTCTATGTTCTTCCAAGCGATTTCAGCTTTAGCCGTGCCTTTTATATTGGTTCTATTAAAATAGCTATACCGTGAACCTCATATATTAGACATAATGTTTGAATTGCGTTATGATACTGAACAATTTACTTTGATTTACATCATAACATTTACTGGTAAGTATATTCGTCTACTCTATTTTAGCTAGCAATTGAAGGTTGCCATTCTAAACATATTTAATAGGGCAGCCCCAGTGCGATTTATTCACAGATAAAGATACATCAGAATACACTTTAGGACTTGAGGTCGTACCATTATCATAGGAACAGGTAACTTTCCAGGTAGCTTCAGAAGATTTATTTATTTATTTATTTATTATTATTATTTGGCTGGCATTTGATTCTGCTTCCTTGATGTAAGTTGGGTTCCTATAGAATATTATTATTAATACTTGTGGCCCACTAGACGTTGTAATCCTAATCTTAACTCCAAATTCAAGTTTGCTGCTGTGGAAAGTGGATTAGCTTCGCTGGAAGATCGGCTACAATCCTCAAATGACTCTAAAACCCTGGATCTGAAAATGCCTTATACTGTACTTTTTTTTTTTTAATTTTGCAAAAATTTTCACTGTGATGTGTGTTTGCAACTCCTGTGCAAATAGATTGATGCTGAGATCTTCCTTTAGAGGAAGATTAGATTTTTTCCCCCTTGGCTTCAAGTTTTCCCTCTCAAACCATAAAAGTGAAATGACGGTTTTGAAAACGAAGAATCCCCCTTCGCCGCCCCTTCCCCCCACCCCCCGGTCTCCCTTCCTTTGCTGCCTCTTCAATGGTGCGAAGCGTCCTTGGGATGTCCCGTCGTCGGAACACTTCCAACCCCTCCGATCACGAGAAAGCCTATTGCAGCTGCCCCAGGGAAGAGCAGAACCGTTTAAAAGTAGCTACGACTCCCGCAGCAGCTACGGAGGAAGTGGCCTGACCGCGCCAATCTTGACACAAGCGATTGCGCCCGAAATTATTAAGAGATCAGCCCCAAATCACAATTTTCCACAGAAAACCCGCGATTCAGACTGGCCTGTGTTCGTGTTCCCCCAAGGGCTGCGTTCTCACACTCCCTTCTCGTTTCTGATGAAGACCAGGGGGGGAGGGGGGGGGCTTTCCCACAGCGCGCTAAGTTTTTACTTCATGGTTGTTAGCGGCTCCGCAAAGTCAGTGAAGTCGGGCTTTTCGCTATGTAATGGGATCACCCGCCCCCCCAAAGTTACCTCAAAAAGAGGAAAGCTGACCTATTTGCCCTCCTTCTCCCCCCCCTCCTCCTATCGCACGGAAGGAAGACGGCAGGTGAGCCTCGCGCCTGGGCATCCCAATAGTAGATTCGCGGCCCAGATCCGAAAGTCGTGATTTTTGTATTTGCCGGTTAGCGGCGGTTTCTTAGAAAGGGACTTTATTCCAAGCGGGTCTGGCTTCAGAGTGGATCTTCTGACCCTCCCTTCAAGCCCTGGCGGCAAAACCGGTGTCTTTCGCTTGCCAAGCCACCGCCTCTGTGCAGCTTTGCACCTGTATTTTATTCTAAGGAGCAGCATAGGACGTCCGGTAAATGCGGCGTTTGCATTTCGTTGCTGCTAGAGAGAAAAAGGTTGGGCAGGAACACTACACCGGTAATCGCAAAGAATCGGCGCCTTTGGCAGGACCCTCGGTCAACTCGAAATCACGGAGGTCGTTTGCTTCTAACGTCTCAGTGCTCTGAATCTTGAATAAACTAGCATGAGTGGGTGCGCAAAGGTGCTTTTTCCAAAAGGCAACCGGACTTTCTTGGGGTTTTCCTTGAAAACGTTTCGCTTCTCATCTAAGAAGCTTATTCAGTTCCATAGACAGTAAGCATGAAAGTGAACTTATTTATAGGGGAGACTCAATAACCACCATTAGGAGCAGGAAATGGGAGTCAAAAAAGTAAAGATGGCATCTGTGGACAATACAATAGAAACCCATTCATGCTTGCGACACAAGTAAAAAAAAAAAATAGGAAAAAAAACCTCGGGGTTTCGTTTGTGCGCCGGTTGCCACCATTTTGGCATTTTTAAGAACTCCGCTTTGCCCTCGTTGCTCCGGGGACGACGAACCCATTGGTCCCAGGCTGGATGTCTCATGTAAATTTGAAATCAGAGGCATCGAAACTTTATTGACAACTCCAGGTTTTTTTATTAAACAGGTAAGCAATGATAATTAATTGAAATAGATCATGTGGGCATTAATGTCCACACCAGTTTTTGCTCTGCCCTGCCCTGCTTTTCGTCTGCTCACAGATTAAGTCCATTGCATCTCCGACCCGTATGTGCAAGACCTACCTAACGAAATATTGTTAGATGATACTTCAATCAATCAATCAGAATAGAACAGGAAGGAACCTTGGAGGTCTTCTAGTCCAACCCTTGCTCAGGCAGGAGACACTATAAATTTCAAACAGGTGACTGTCCAGTCTTTTCTTAACCCCCCCACCCCCCCACCCCACTTCCCAGTGATGAAGCACCTACAACGCCTGAAGGTGCAAGCTGTTCCACTGGTTAATTGTTCTCACTGTTAGGAAGTTTCTCCTTAATTCCAGGTTGCTTCTCTCCTTGATTAGTTTCCATCCATTGTTTCTTGTCTTGTCTTCTGGTGCTTTGGAAAATAAATTGACCCCCTCTTCTTTGTGGCAGCCTCTCAAACACTAGAATAGTGTTATCATGTCACCCCCAGTCCTTCTTTTCTCTAGATTAGCCATACCCAATTCATGCAACCGTTCTTCGTATGTTCTTTCATATTGTTTTTTTTTTTTATTCTACTTTGTCTATTCTAAGTACTGGTGAAATTTTTTTACTACCGGTTCTATGGGCAAGGCTTGGTGGGCGTGGTGTGGCTTGGTAGGCGTGGCAGGGGAAGGATACTGCAAAATCCCCATTCCCTCCCCGCTCCTGGGGGAGGGATATTGCAAAATCTCCATTCCTACCCCATTCTGGGGCCAGCCACAGGTGGTATTTCCCGGTTCTCTGAACTACTCAAAATTTCCGCTACCGGCTCTCCAGAACCTGTCAGAACCTGCTGGATTTCACCCCTGATTCTAAGTAAAGAAAGGACCGTGTACCCCTTTCTTTCCTCTCCCCTAAAGCCTCCTGGCGGGACGCCTTGTCAATAGAAAGAATTCCCCGGCCAGACTGGGGTGTTTAATTGAGATCGGCGGGATTGGAATAACCTCGTGTCAGAAATCAGAATCGTGTCCATAGGTTCAGTTCGTGCATTTAAAAAAATACACAAACCCCTCAAAAGTTATCGGTTCGAGCATAAAGGTAGCATTAGCAGGATCCGCTCCCTCCCCTCCGCCTTCAATTCAATTCGAGAGCCCTCAATTCGAAGTGGCCGGTGGCCTTGGCCTTTTCACACCGAAATCCCGTTTATCAAGTGGCGGCTTGGAACTGGGGAGAGGCGAGAACCCCGAGCAGGCGCTGCTTTTCTTTTTCTTTCCCCTTCCAACCGCTTTTCCAAGCGTGGCGTGGGGTTGGGGGGGGGGGGCTTTGAGGAGGAAGAGGGGACGGGACGGACGGAATGCGGTTCTCTCGGCAGCGTTATCAGAGGCGGCCACAAATGCCACATGAAACGCAGCAAACATCCGGCGCGCTTCCTGAGAGCCGCCGCTAGTTCTCAAGACAAGCGAGAGAAAAAAGAGGGAGGGCTCCGGGGGGGGCAGTGGGTGGAGGCGCCCAAATCTCAGGAGGCCGACATACACACACTCACACACACACACGGAGGCAGAATTCAGCAGCGCAGGACGCAGAGATGCAGACACGCTCCTATTGTTCGTGGGCGCCTCTGCAGACTTAGCTTTGCCCCCATTTCCCCGCCCGGGATTTTTAAGTGGGAGAGTTGAAATTACACACGCACACCTTACGCCAGCGTTTTAAATCTGCACCACCACCCCCCACACACAACTACGTACGCCCCAATAGGAGGCTGAACCTTAAGGCACTTAACTGCGAACGGGTGGAGAGAGGAGTGGAACGGTCTGAAAGTTTCCTATTGGAAAATGTCGTCGACTAATTGTACGCCTGGGCGCTGCCCTGTAGAACTGGCTTTGTGCGCAAGCTGCGCCACAATGATTTGCGTGCGGCTT